ACCGGTGAGACGTCCAGATCTCATTAGAGAAACTCGTAGATACTTTGGATGTATACTCAGTGCTATACGGAAGGGTTGGAATGCTAATCTGAAACGTAGATTTCCTGTCTATTATTCAAAGCGGGACGAGTTATCTACTACTCCTGACGGTATTTTGTGTTTAAATGATCGTGTTGTTATTCCTCCTTCATTACGCAAACCTGTCCTTGATGATCTTCATAGTGGACATCTTGGTGTTGAGAAAATGAAATCCTTAGCAAGACTCACATGTTGGTGGCCAGAGATAAATGCAGATATATGTCGTACAGCAAACAATTGTGAGAAATGTCATAAGCTAAAAAGTCTGCCTTCGAAGTGGACTCCATGGCCAGTATCGTCTGAGGCCTGGCAGAGAATTCATGCAGACTACTGTGGTCCATTTCTTGGCAAATACTATGCACTTGTAATTATTGATTCTTTTTCTAAGTAGCCTGAAGTTTTTTTCACAACTTCACCGAATTCTGACTTCACAATTCAAGCATTAAGGAAGGTGTTTAGTCGAGAAGGAGTTCCCATGGTGTTGGTGACTGATAATGGCTCTCATTTTGCTGCAGATGCAGTCACTAATTGGTTAAATGGTATAGGGTGCAGACATCTGTTTACGGCTCCCAGGCACCCTTGTTCCAATGGTCAGGCAGAAAATTTCGTAAGAACATTGAAAATTGCTATTGATTCTATTGCTGCTTCGACATTCAATGAACTGGAGAGGGGAGTAGATACATTTCTACTTCAATATAGAAATGCTAAGCATTCTGTGACGAAAGAGACTCCATCAAAGCTATTAAAAGGAAGAATTCTCCGTTCGAATATGAGGTGTTTGGAGTCTGCAGAAGTTACGTATTATCGTGGTAATGATCTTCGACCAGCCACGGGGATCGTGGTGAAGAATGTTGGAAAATCTATGGTGCGAATTCTGGATATCAATGACTTGACCATACATAACCGACACGTTGATCAAATACAATACCAGAATCCAGGTGAGTCTGTTCCAATTTCGGTTGTTAATTCTAATACTAATGAGTGCATTCTAGATAATACAGAGTCTACATCCAATACACCGTCGGACAGATGTAAGATGAACTTAAGAAGAGGACGAACAATCGATTACAGACACTTACACTCCAATTCGAGCTGTGGCGGATGTGATGTTTAAATAAATCAATGACTTCTTCGTATTGATGACTGTTGTAATTTTGAATTCCAAACACAATACATTCGTTCGAGTTCGTCTAATACTTCTTGATTACATTGCGTTATTCCTGGGATTACTAGTTCATACTACAATTCAAATACTTCTAATTACCATAGCGGCGCATATGTACCTTATGCCAATAATAATGTGTCCAAATAAATAAATAAGCACAAGCATAACTGACGAAAAAATACTTTACAGTCGGGGCCTTTATTGTTTCTTCTACGTACTGACATATCATACATAGTGTGCGTATACTGAAGAAATAATTATCAATCATAGAAGTCCTATTACCTTATGTACTTCTTTCAAACAGATCTCAAAATTGTCTCAACTTGTAAACCGTTGTGATAATATAATATCACTCAGGACTCGTCCTATATCATGCATCATCACGATGGCATTTTTTTCGTTACTTGTAAGATGAACGTAATCAGACAGTATACCTGAACTTAATTTAAATCTGTAAACGTAATCTGGCCGCCTATATAAAACTGCCTCAGTTTGCCTGTCCCTGGGAGATAAAATTTGCTTTCGCTTCATCCGGTTTATTTCTAGTTCTACGATCCCCCTTGTTACATTTGAACTCAATCTCAACACTGTCTTATCACATTGAGATGCCTTTTCACAATAACAATTTACCAATATATCCTTTGATAAATATTTAAGGCATTGACAAAACTTATGGTTTTTCATGGATTACAATTGATAAGCACTAGATGAAACACAAACTATTTACAAGATATATGATGTTTAAGGTCAAATTCAACAACAATTATTCGAAATCATACGACGTTAAACAACGGACTTCATTTAGTAAGATGGGGAAACACGTAAACTTCATTCCTACCCTATTAGATGGAACACAAGCTTCTTGAAAATTGACAAGTGACCAAACTTTAGAACCGGTAATCAGTCGTATAGTGCAGCCTACATATGATTGAATTTGGAAGAAAACAAACATTTCGTCGAAATACTGAATAAACGATGGATTAACTTGGACAATAAACTGTATACTAGATTCAAATGCATCAAAGTACCAATGAAACAAATGCTAGCAATAGCTAGAAATTATTGATATTTGGCGTCTTAATCTAACCACATTCCAAACCATCAAATTCAATTCGTAATGTAGTTGTACACTTGGATTTCAAGACCGACGTTTCAAACATAAACATTCCTCTTAACTGCGAAATCACTTAACTGTAACCAAAACTCACCGCGGAACCACTTCGCTAAGAACGAATATAATTAAGACGTTTCCATACAAATACTAAAATGGGAAACCGCCCCTCATCTTGAAAACTGGCGAACGGGACTACACAAAGACGCGTGATCACTGTTAGTTAGAGTGAGATCGGATATTCGTGTCACAAAATGGAACGCTTGATGAGTAACATGGACTGTCGTCACATGTGGTGACAAACTCTTATCACAACTATTTACTAGACGAACATTTAGTGAATTGTTTTGACACAAATGCCATATCATTTGTCTCCGGTGTATATGAATCCTATCGTAAATCACTTACATTCATGATTCGGATATGACTTTTATTTTGTTCCTTAGTCGTAAGCCAGATGTGTAGTCGACTAGTCAGTCGAAAATGTATTTTTAAGGAAGACAAAACGAATTATTGCGAAGTGGATTGATGATATTAAGAACTAGAGATGAAACAGATACCTAGTACTAAGTTAGGATCTATACCACTCTCATACCGACGTATTTTTGCCTGACATTTATTCCCAAATAATTCTTACATCAAAATTCGGTGTTTGAACGGATTTTACTTGCTAACTGTTCCGTAATCTCTTAACGTTGGTGCAGAAGTCCATGATTTTGTGATTGAACTGATATACTTAGGAGTCAACAATTCGAAAAGACACCCAAAATATAGAATAATGTTTCAAAATCTGGAAAAATATGTGAGCACTTAAGGCTTTTACTATTAAACTTACACTTATGAACAAATATGTTATGGAATTCGAAACACAAATAGCCTTACATATCCGAGTAATGAGACGACCGTTGGTTACATACTAGTTAGGAATTAGTAATCGGACCATGCTGATAAAGCGAATAACTACTCAAATAATGCAAGCACTTTGGTCAAAACACTGTGTTACTTGTCTAACTTGGCACATCTACACATGTGGCCACTAATTTTTTTCACTTTCAAGTGGCTGATTTGAAATCTGTATTTATTAGCGAAAAACTTCGTGTTACCAGTACGAAGAAATATTGAGCACTTATCAAATATTAGGTTTTATGTTAACAGACAGTGGAATAGATGTGTGAAACGATAGCTTGCCGCCCAAAACCGGTTGCTGAATGATCTAGGTGGTCTAAATGACCACTGACAGATGACTCATGAATCATGGCGAAAAATGACTAGATGAAAAAAGATCGTGGCCATTGCATTTTTGTAATAAAAAAAAGACGTGGGTTAAGAAAATACTAGTTACTACTACGATACCTGAACTATGTTATGTCAGAAATTTATGTACGTTGTCATAATTTACTCAGTTTACAAGAACAAAATACTGAGCGAAACATACGCGTTACGATTTCCCGTTTACAAGATGAAAACAAATTTAAAGAGCATTTATAGTGAGTCACATATTTAAATTTTAAAGTTGATTATGGTTAAGTTAGCTTGTAAGGAAGCACAATCGGAAATAATCCCGAAATTAGAAGTGTTGAGCTACCAACTTTTTTAAGTATAGAAATGGAAGGGAAATATGTTTTAATTGTCTACAGAATGAAATGGAAGGGCTTGATATAAATATGAAATATTTACTAAACTTTGGGTAAATTAACATCCCATCAGCCATTAAGCATCAGGCAACATAGGAATTTCTATGTCGAATTATCAAGAATTAAGTAGTCAACTAAAGTGACTTATATCGTTTGTGTTATAAACAGTCATTCATTAATTATCTAAGCAATGAGCAGCAGAAACAACTTCACAAATATCTTTGCAAATCATATACGTAGCAAACACAACAAAACCAGAATTTAAACAAACGAACCAAAGTGTAAAATTTTGAATCAATGCATTCGTCAACTACCCAACCATAAAAATCTAGTCGGTTCAATGGCAAAGTTAGCACTGTCAATATCAGTAACCATTACTTATTTCTTCAATAATCAAGGATCTACTTTATGATTTTTTGATTGATGGTAACCCACTATTTGTTACCTTTGATGATTATCGTTGGAAATCAGAAATATTATTCTTAGATAGTATTTTCGAACAAAACTCCTATTTTCTATACAGTTTTCAGGATTACCCTCGTCACATTGAGTGGACTTTGATACCCTGTTTTAGAAACATCAACATATTTTCTGATGCTTTAATCACACAGCAACAGTTTCTGAAACGCGACAGCACCAAAATTTACATGTCAAACAGTCTGATCACTCATATCTCAGCATTATGTACCATAACGTTCATACAAAGTACACGGATAACATCGCACGACTGGTATCAGTAGGCAAAGAAACACGCAAGCTTTTACCACACTACTAACAGTCGTACAATAAAAGTACATTTACCCTGGAAGAATCACCGATTCACAACACACGGAACCAAACAAATACACAGTTGGTTTAATAATGAAAAACCAATTCTTTTACCAACACATTGACATAACCCATTTAGTTCGGGCAACAGTGATACAAAACAAAGACTTAGTGGAGCCAAAATTAAGGAGGAAGTAAGAAATGCAGAATTTGAGTATTGAATAACTTGAATCCATTCATTGTGTTAGAGTGCCTAAAAAAATAAAAACATGAAATATAGGTTGTTAATAAAGAGTAAATGTGGAATACTTATGAAGGGAAAAAGTTAGATTCTTCATTGGTTGAGATAACTTTTACAGTTTAAACAATGATTATTTATGATTTATTTCAGATAATATAATTTGCAAAGCTCTTGATTTACTTAAAAATAGACATGACAATCAGCAACGAGCGATAGCCAAAAGAAAGAACTTATAGAAAGATTATTACGGAAAAGGAATTGTTGTGGAGAACCAGAAAAAAACGGTGGAACCCTGAAGACGCCAGGAAACACCTTATCCAATCATTATTTAGTCAAAGTTATAGGGACATCTAGGAAGTGAAGTCATGTGTCAAATTTGGGATCGAATGACCACCTATCCTACTACTATGTTCAGAAGGGTTCCAGAACTTTCCAGTAGCCCAAGGCCACTCTAACATGTTATGAATACTCTAGATTTCATGTACATTAACTAACCTCTGAGTATAGTGTTCTTTCCATATTTTGAGACTTTTCTCTTGTGTAGATTTAGCCTGGGGGTTACTAGTAGAGCCTAGGAAACCGATACAAGCGTTCAATTAGAAGATTTACCAGGAATGTTTCCTGGATCAATTTAATTTAGCCGTAACTACAGATTACAATTTCAAAACACTGAAGTTCCCCTTTGATGACGATATGAGAACGCGGATTTGGAGTAAAATTTAATAAGGTTCGAACATAAGTTTGTAAAACTCTACCTGTAACTGTTTTAAGGTTACTACCGGAGGAGGGATGGACATATGGTCAGCAACTATATCCCGTGGAAAACAACACTACCAAAAAAACACTAACCAAAGTAAATAATTAAAATTTTATCCTGGGAGGTGAAGGGAGAACTACGAAATCTCATGGTGAAAGCTGAGATTCTTTGGAATTCACGAAACCAATGCACCTTCCAACAACCAGAGAAAGTTAATATACGTGCATGAAATGTTTGGACAATGTGGGAAACCGGGAGGATCACTCAAATAGCAACATAAAAAATGAGATACAATTTGGTGGTGCTCGAAATCAGTGAAACTCATTGGATCCAAAATGCATGGATTCGGGAGAGATGCTGTTGTACTCTGGTCACGAACAAGAAAATGCTCCACACACACTCACAGATTTGTTCTGATGCTATCCAAAGAAGCATGACTAAATTTGCAAACTTTCTCCAAAAAAAGGACATCAACTGAATAATTAAAGCACCTTTTTTAATCCCTAGTCAGTGAGGTTAGAATTCATTTACTTAGGCCTAGGCACTTAAACAGGATCATATCAGCATTACAGAAAAGTGATAATGAGCAATTAACATGATTTGATATGGGTTTTAATATCTGAAAATATATGCAGTCAAAAAATGACAAGACCACAAAAAAGCGAAGCCTTTATATTAAAGAAAGATATGGACTAATTGTGATAATCGGAGGGTGTGAAGTAAAGAGATTTTCGAGAATATTAGCCACAACAGAAGTTTATAATTAAAACTAAAATAAAAGCTAATGAAATACAATTTAACGACCAGTAAAATTTAAATTCTAATAAGATTTTTCTGCACACTCAGGTTTAATCTGTTTACACTTTTTATCTTCAGATACTTTCAAGATAAGTGTCCTTGTCCATGAGGACTAGAATACTTAGGACCAAAAGTATAGTAACTTGAATGTTCTGATATTTTATTTATTTTACAAAAAAAAGCTGTGTAGTTAGTTTTGATCCACTTATACAATAAAATGTGTTGCAATCAGTAATGATTATTAATGTCAAATTTAAGTAAAGTATTTATGATACTGGAATTCATTTGCTAAAAACAGAAATGAGTGGTAAAACTCCATTACACCTACTGTATAGTGAACAAACGAATACTAATGGTAAGTAAAATCTGTTTTATGAATGAATGTTTCTCAAAATCGTAGGTCTATAGAAAAAGAAACGATATCCTTAAATGGTAGCTGAGTAGTGACTTACGGTTATAGCTCTCAGCTTTCGATCAACAGGTTTCAGGTTAAGACTTTGGTTTACCAAATTTAGTTTAACATCATCAGTACACACATATAAAGTGTGCCTTCAAGCTAATTATCTAAAATTGTGCTTGATAACTAAGTCATATCTCTGATTAAAATAGAAAAAATATATTACCGCCTAAGTAAAATTTTAACAACATGAAATGTACTTGCATGAGAATTATGCAGTCCAATATTGGCGAAAGTATATCTAGGTTGGTAAGTTTTCAATTCGTTAGAATGATCTGCAAACAAACTTACACCAGAATTGCCAAGCATAGAAGTATTGCCAGCTCCAGTGGCAGCGCTAACTATGGCGGCTACTACATTCGGATTACTTAGAATATTCATCGTAGCAAGTGCAGCAGAATTTGAAGAATCCACAGATACTCCGTTGTATTCTGGTTGCCCATTTGCTGGGGTACCTGAGTTTCGGGTCTAGAAAGATTAGGTATGCAAAAAAGGGATATATATGAAGCCAATTCGTTTAATTTATCAGGTACTCGGCAAAACCTATTAAAATTAACAATAAAAATGGTCAAGCTAAAAGAGAGTACATGTTTAGATTCAGATCATGCTTTAATGCGAGCACGTATCTGTCTGCGTCTTACTGGACGCAGCATAGACACTGCAGCGAAACCTCAAAGGGTTCTACTTAGTAATAGGCAAGCTAAGAATATATTTCAGAAACAACTAGAAAAACAGTTAGGCAGGTATGTAAGTTCTGCCCACCCCCGAGGCAGCGTGGAATGACATTCGAAAAGCTATGGAAACAGCAGCGATATCTGCTGGAACGGTAAACCGTAAGGTTAGGGAGAAACATTAGATCTCAGTGGCATCTACCGCACTGATAGATGCCCGAGAGCTCATCCCATCTGGCTCTGAACATAATGAAGGGCGGAGTCAGCAGGCCCTGACAGGTTTAGCCCCGAGATTTTTAAGGATGGTGGTCCAGTACTAGCAGCGAAATTGACTGAGGTCTTAGGTAGTATCTGGGATCTGAACGTAATTCCATCTGAATGGTCACAATCACTGATTGTGCCAGTCTATAAGGACAAAAGTCTTCCTGTGACAATTACAGAGGAATCAGTTTGACTAATATAGTGTTTAAAATATTAGCTTCAATAATACTTGGGTGCCTAGCCAAAGCTCGTGAAGAGCAGACTGGTTTTCGACCTGGACGTGGTTGTATAGACCAGATACTCACCCTACGTTAAGTGCTAGAATATAGACACACATTCAGACATCCCACAATCGTAGTATTTCTTGACCTTAAAGCGGCATTTGACTCCGTTGATAGTGAGGTTCCATGGCAATGTTTGTTACTGAAAGGAGTACCAAAAAAGTGCATTAACCTCATACAGGCTCTCTACTCGAACACAACTGGTCGAGTTAGAGCCTATGGCGAACTGTCATCAGAACTGATTACCTTAAGCGGTGTTCGTCAGGGCTGTCCACTCTCCCCATTCTTGTTTAACTTAGCCGTTGACATACTTTTAGAGATAACACTTTCATCATCTAAAGCTCCAGGAACTGAACTTTTACCGGGAGACTCACTTGTTGACTTAGAATACGCCGACGACATCGTTTTATTTGGTGAAGACGCTGACAACATGCAGTCTTCTGACCACTATAAGCAACTATGCAGGCATGCTCGGGATGCGATTCTCTCCCTCGAAGTGCAAAATGTTACTTCGGGATTGGGTTGCATCGGCACCTGAACTATTGATAGGGAGTGAAGTAATTGAACGTGTTGACCGTTTCACTTATCTTGGGAGTCTCATCAGTCCTTGTGGTGTGGTGTGACGAAATCTCAGCACGGATACAGAAGGCTCGTCTAGCTTTCGCCAACTTGCGTCATTTATGGCGTAGGCGAGAAGTCCGTCTAGCAACCAAAGGACGTGTTTGCTGTGCACCGAACATTATTTCATATAAATTTTTACTCAGAAGTCTTCCACTAAACATTTGATCTGATTTGAAATTGAACTAATATTTCCCTCAACCTATCTGACCCATATTTATTCTGATCATAAATCTCATAATTCTATTTAAAGTATAAGCCTATTCAAGTTAACATTACAAATTAGTCATTTCAACAGTAACAACTTTGTTGTATTCAGCAATCCTAAATGCATATACTATAATTTTAAACGATGTACTCTGCATTAAATCTGACCACTTTTTGGACAATTAATTTGGATATATAGTTGTAGAATCTGAAGAGAATTGATTGTAAAGAATATTCTTCATTCATATATCTGTGTTTTAAACAACAACAACAATAATATTGTTTTATTCATTTTTGTATTGGTTGTTTGAATCTTCCGATTGATGTTTAGGACTACAATTGATTAGTTTTTGTTTATAATAATATTGCTGTTGAGAGCTTGAATATTCGTCATGAAGATAAATAAAGAAATTATAGCTAGAAAAGGGAAGGTTTAGTGTGATGCGATAAAGTGTTGAAACTGAGATGAATAGTGAGGCGCATTTTACCTTATCACATTGAACCTTTCTTTTCCAACGATAATTTCTTTCACTATGTTCATGATGAATATTCAAGCTTTTAAAAACAATATTATTATTAGTATATACTTACGATATCCGTCTAGCAACAAAAGGACGTGTTTGCTGTGCAGCAGTCCGTTCCGTCCTACTTTATGGCAGTGAAACATGGCCGGTAAGAGTAGAGGATATTCGTAGGCTACTAGTGTTCGATCATAAGTGTCTTCGAAGCATTGCTCGTATATCCTGGGACCACCGGGTAAGTAATGCAGATATTAGGAAACGGGTACTAGGTAAGGATGGCAAATCGATTGATGAAGTAGTGAAACTTCGTCAATTGAGATGGCTGGGACACGTGTTACGTATGCCCAACCACCGACTGCCCAGACGTGCAATGTTTCATGGTGTAGGAGTGGGTTGGAAGAAAGCTAGGGGCGGCCAGACCAAAACGTGGCACAAATCCATGAAGTCGCTGACAAGTGGACTGAGCCATGTTGGTAGGTGTAAACTACCTAGTTTGGATGATAACAAACGGTGGTTAGAGACCCTGAATGACATGGCTGGAAATCGTTTGCAGTGGTGAAGGTGCATACACTCTTTGTGTTCTACCAAATTCTAATCTTCTGAATTCTTCATGTCCCTATCCTTTTTCTCTTTCCAAATTTATTTCACTGTATTATACTCCTTCAATAACATTTTCAAACCCTAATCTTTCACATAACGCTCATACTCTTACTATTTCTTCCACTATGGGATTTGAATCGGCAACTGCATCTCTGTGCTAATGTGGTATGGCAACTCGAACCGATGTACGTACGTACGTACGAAGTTCTACGTTGTGACTGACTGACTGAAAACATACATCGACAGTTAATAAGTGGAAGCCTATAATTATAACAATAAGAAAATACCATGAGTCAAGTACATGATAATTACACACTATCAATAGATATAATTCACCACTGCTTCGGTTTAGGCACCCGGGCAGTATCACAACCCTCATACAAATCAATGACAACTACTACTGGCCTCATTGTTATTGTGTGGCGCATATCTATTTGGTGCCCCCTTGTACCAATATTTATGTGTTCAAAATAAATAAATAAATAATTCACCACATAGGAGTTCCCCGTCTGCCAAATGTTTCTGACAGAATAAACAGAAAATATGAACTAGGCACGCAACAAAAATAAAAACGTAATTTGCGCAGTGGTTAACAGCGTGATTAACAGTCAAACTATCTTTGAATAGCTTTGATATGAAAATTTTGAACATTGAGATCAGTTTTTGGATACCTAATGTTAGTGCTTATAAAAAATTGCTGCTATCCAACTAGCACCTTCGAAATCGGACCAAGCCTTATCGTGTAGCATCACAGACCACTCGCTATTACAACCACGATAACGCTCTAATGTTGTATTTAAGATACTTGTTGGTAGAACCTAATCCTAATATTTGCCAAACTGTTGATGTCCAGTAAGTAGGCTGTGATTACAAAGAAGCATGTAATTCTACCATTATTTTTTCGCATACAAAAGGATACTTGAATCACTCACTTTGTGTGGTCATGTGTACTACGTGCGCAACAAATGTGTTACTTAGAGATTAACCGGCTTTTAAGGCCTAGGGGGAGCAGACATATGAACCTAGATTATACAGTCAAGTACAAAGCTTTACGCAGTAGTAAATTCTATTACTGAGAGTACTCACATGATGAACACGAGTATATTCTGCGGCTAAAACAGCAGCAGCGGCTGCAGCTGCTGGATTCATTCCCCCCATTGATCCGTTTCGACTTCCACCTTTACCGGAAGAATGTTGGCCTCCATATCGGTTATTCTGAACCATACCCCCATAAGCTGGTGGCCAAGCTATAGAGTAAAGGTAAGAAATTAATGAGTGAATTTAAAAAATAGTAACTAATTACGAATACTAAGAGTGATGATCAATAAATAAAGGAAAACATAGGTTAATAATTATCAGTATGATCGTTTATTGGTAAGGTTTTGTCACTAAGTACTAGTGTACATAAAAATAAAAAAGCCTACCAACTGACGGACAGAAAGATAGAACCACTCCATGTGATCACTGGCAACTGATTTTAGTCATGTATAGAATAAGGCTAATATCTCACATTTTAGAGTTCGGATATCATACCAAAGCTTAATTGATAACAGTAAAGCCGAACAGCGATACTGCAAATCCTTTACCGAAAGTAGCTTCATTTGTGATGGCTGGTGAAGCTACCTGTCTGATCAAAGCGAAGTTGATGAAGCCTGGTTTGGATCTAAGATCAAGTACCTGATATTCGAATGACTCAATCACGAAGCTATTGTTAATCTGAGTTCATTAGGTGAGATATAAGACTTAATTTGATAAATACTTGTCTAATTTTCGGGATGTAAAATTAAGCAGAGAAACATCACATGAAAAAGAAAATGTTCCACAAACTCCATAACACATGAATAAGGACTACATTTACCACAAAAATTTATAAGGTTATAGATGAATTCTAAAAAACGGTACTTACCACCCCATTGTTGAGTTCCCAACATTGTTGACTGAAGAGCAGCTTGCATCGAGGTAACTGGGATTCGTTGATTAGTGTTATTTTGACGAGCAGAAGGAGGGAGCTTGGGAACTGCAGAACCAACGCTTATACGAACACCTTGAATTTCTTGGTCCTTGCCTAACAAAGAAGCTGCGACCTCGGGGTCATCGAACGTAATGAAGGCGAACGATCGAAAGGGTTTCGGTATGAAAACATCAGATACCTAAAATAAATCATTTAGACGGATTCGAGAATTACGTCAAAATTAAAACAATTTGTACCAGTGTAAGATGAGCGACAATGATGTTTAGATTCACTACTCGGCGTCGCAACGTACTCTCTTTAGTAGAGTCAAAGACCCAAGGTTTAACTCGGCCAGATTCCCTTCATTACCAGCTGTATTATGGAGTTTTGAGAAACTAGCATACTTGTGTAAAGTTATAGGTTTTCGCAGTTAATAGAAGGAACCTGATATATATATATATATATATATATATATATATATATATATATATATATATATATGAAAAACTTGTGGTATGTAATCGTTTTAGAAAAATAACTAGGACACTTAAGAATACTTTATGTTTATGAAACGGAAAGTTAGAGATATTTTTCAGAAATATGTAGACTTACTCTTCCATATTGGGAGAAATGCTGACGCAGAGCTTCGGGACTAATATCTTCTGTTAACCTTCCAATGTGAACTTTTCGGGAAACTTCTTGACGGTCACCCTCCATCTAAACCACCATTAAGAAAGCATTGATCTTGTATTAAATTATGGTTTTTTAAATTAAAATCACAACCCATTGTATCATACAACCAATCTATAGAAAGTAAGATATAACTGAAACCTAGTCAGGACATTATCAAGATTGTATGGTTTAACAGTTGGCAGATCATTCTCTACATAAAAAATTAAGGCATGACAATTAGGTTTGATGGGTTAAGACAGTCAAGAAACACATATGGTTATTCAAGAAAAAGTGACTAAGAATAGTTAACTAAAGTGAGGAACAGATACAATGAAACTCATCGGTAATAACCATTTTAATTAAAAGCCAGTTTCTATAGTGGCAACATTGATGTAAACAATGATGTCTTAACCACATTTTGATACTAGGATCAAATAGCTCTCGTCTTTCTTGGCCCCAGTTACTCCAAAACACAAATCTTGTGAGGAAGATTTGTTTGTTAGAGGCCAAAGAATTTGGATTAATTTAATAATATATCGATAGTGATTATAAACAAGAGAATATTAAACCAAACGAATGCCACATGAACGAAAAATCACACTGAAGCAATAGATACAATTATAGTGCACTAAAAGTCAACTGAACAAAAATCACCTCAAATCAATGTGAATTTTCAAGACTACTGAAAATATTCATTTTGTTAGGATTTTAAATCCCCGAACACAACATATCATGAAAAAATTAATGGGTGAATTTAGTGCGCTCAATGGACAACAAATAAATGTTTTTATAGCAAATAATAGTACAAGTAAAAAAGCCTGGTAATTGTAGGAATTAGTTTTCATTTCCAGGAGTTTGAACAACTTATAGTATCAAATGTGCACATGAAAACAAGGCGTTGTTTCGTGAAAGCCCGAGGTACTGGATTTTAAAGAAACATTTTTTTACGGAAGTAGTAACTTATTACAAGTTCATGTACCTGGATTTGGGTCACATTTGTGTAGAAAGTAGTGTGAATACCATGGTCTCCAAACCGTAATAGGCAACCACTTAGCTACCGACCTATTTTTCTACACTAAATATCATGTTTCAAAGAAAGCTTCGAGTAATGAAAAATCGCTACCTTTGATATAGGAATGCGGACATCGCACTGTCGATTTTCAATGGTATGTCGTTCAGCCAAACACATAACTTGAGCCGTATAATCAGCGAAGCGGATAAATCCATATCCCTTGCTTTGCTGGGTTACTGGGTCTCGTTTGATCTGTAAAAGATAATAAAGTTTATGGTGCACATGAAAGCCTACAAATAATAATCGTTCCATCAAAGACTAAAATGTCATAAACGTAAACTGACTGGTCGATATTCTTTGCTTAGAACAGTCTTTTAATTTGCAGCTTTCACTTTTAAAACAATTGAGATAGCAAAGATGTCGTCTCTGCTCAGCTTTACTACAAGTCTCACTGCCCTTTGACATGAGACAAGTGGAAGTGGACAGTGTTGTAATGGATAACTAAGTTTAAACCAGGACCTTAGGTGTCAACCTACTGCTAGTCGTTAGATGCAGTGTCAACACCTCATGTTACAGGATACCAAAACTACCAGGGATTATCACTGTCTAAGCTTAGAGAATAGAACTTGGTAGAATCGAAATTTTTAAGGAAGAAAAATCCTACTCGACTTGCAAAAAATATGGTCATTAGCAAAGAGAAAAATTCATTTGGTTCATGTGGTTATGTGGCATCACCAAGTTAGTGGTCAAGTTACATGTGCCATTACTTTTCCCTTATCTATACGTACTCGTACATAATAAGTCAAATATAGAACTAATCACGAAAACGTCGTTGTACCAATGAAACTCAAAGTTATGTTCTCTGGTGCTGGGGTTGTATAAGTAGTAGAAAATCAATTACGAAGATGGTAAACTCACCATACAATGAAAAATGACTGCCGTCGACCATATCACAGTGACAGATGACTTTCAGTACGGAATCACCACAATGTAATAGTACAATTTAATAAGTACCCAGACTAAATGTGGTTTGAGTTCGAACATGCAATTTAGGTGTTGAGTCTTAAGCACTACCGAAACAACTGTATATACAGAAATCACTTCTAAACTGTTTAATTCAAGAGACAAAATGGCACCCGATATTGATACGGTTCTTAACGCCCGCAGATGCCCTGCTACGGCCGAGAGTCTGCTCTTCCTCTCAAAATGCTCTCACATGGCCACGCGTATATAACCTCTGCCAGGGAAGTCATACTCAATGCCTTCTCGCATTAAAGATGTTGTTTACGAAATTTAGAGGACGAAAAGCGGATGCACGGCGCTTTAACCGGGTTGTTAGACACCGAGGGTCCACTTGAGTTTGAAAACCCTGATATCAAACCAATGGTATACATGGGCTCCAGTATCCTGAGGGGACAAATGGTGTATGAACCAATTGTTGGTCACCGGCTACTATGGGACAGCATCTCCTCACGATGCTCCATTGCACTGTGGATCAGACCTTCAGGTCAAAGGCTCCAGGTGTGGCCCTTTAAAACCACCTGCTTTAGTTTGGGCACCTGGGCAGTATCATAGCCCTCACATAAATCAAATGAGATTTGTGACGATATATCTGGTGTCCCTTTGTACCAAATTTTTATGTGTTTAAATAAATAAATAAACGTTTCCTAACTTGGTAGGTTAGTGTTGGTGTATGATTATAATACTCAGACCAACAAACTACAAGATGAATTACTGAACAATATGCAGCATAGCAATACAGAAATATCAATACCCAACATCTTTGACTCACAATCCTCGAAGGTTTTGACGCTTTTGTAGTTTAAAATGATAAAATGGTATGCGTTTAGAACTATTACATTAAATCTACATCTCGTACCATAAATGTAATCTTTGTTGAACTGACTCAAATGCTCAGGCTGGTATCCTTTGTTAGGAATGGACTACTTAACTTCTAGCTGCATGTTTTTTGGCCAGGGCAACTAACCTTTTGTTGATTTTAAACGTTAAGAGCTTTAGTAACTTTAACTGTGGCATTAGAAGTTTCATGCTACTCAGTCTGTTTGTAGACTTTAGCTTTAACAGACACTTTTGAAAGTGAATTTTCGAAATGCAATTTGGGAAAAAAATTAAAACCCACCTGGATCATGACAAGGTCGCCGTACTGGCTAAAGTAGTCGCGTAAAGTATCTTCATCTGCCCGCCAAGGCAAGTTTAACACTATCAAGTCCGTACATGTTTTTTTATCGAAACGTTTTAGCTTCATTTTGGAATCTAACGAGTATTCATCTGCTTTCCTCTTGGAACCTTGAATAAAGCATTGAGAATTATGTAGGATATTACACCTCTAGAAACAAAATACTTTGACATAAATGTTTTTTCTATTTATCGCAATTGAACTCCCAAAGTTAGTGTCAAGGCTCTTGTACTACTACTATGTGCACATATAGATAACTAAATGATGAGTTCTGGAGTTTTTCTTACACGTTTAGCCAAAATGGCCAGACCACTTGTGTTACAGGCATTAGAAATAAAAACTATAGAAACGTTAGCAACATATATTTCTGCATTGAAATCAATATTTTAGACCATTTAGGACATTATTGAACATTACGAACAAATGGACGGCAGTATTATACCGGTGTTCTTCAACACGTCCATGCTTCAAACAGTGATTTAAGAGTATTAGGATTCAACAGCAGTTAAGCTGGTACAGTTCTTAGACCACATCCAATCTCCGGACTTTGGGGTAATTGTGGGATTTCGGAGTGTTCCACAAAATCACACAAAAACTCGTAGTTTTACCCAGAGCATGGGGAAATTTAGGAGGAAAACTACAGACCAATGGGAATGTAGGTAATTCCCTCATATTAATTGTAAATCCTGAGGAAAAATAGATTTACGCAGAATAACTTAGGACTTAAGCGGTTTTGCCGCATTTTCAAAATGACTTCAAGTGCCGCCTCAAAAATTTTTCCCCGAAAAGTGGTAAGCAGTTTCACACTTGTGATTGAAATTCAAGGTAGACTGTAATTAATACAACTTACATTTTGGAAAGACACAACAAAAAGTGTTTCCATGCCATTGTCCATCAGTGGGAGGAAATAAACGGTCATCCAAAAGACGAACACCACGATAGCACCCTGAGTCGCCAGACCTGTACTTAAGTCCCGTGCAATCTGGGAACTGAGCGGTTAATGTTGATAGTAAAAGAGTGTCATCGTCTTCCAGAGGCACCTCGATTGGCTGGTCATCCTCAGTCTCACATATCTTAACATATCTTGTTAGCTGCATCCCCACCTCAACCGAAACTGAAACGCGCGTAATCAGAGACAAAGTGGGATGTCCAATTGACAAAGTCTTGGTGAAGGGCTTTACAAAATGATCGATTTTTTTCGATTGTTCCTTGTTATTTCTGTACAATTCCAGTCATCTGGTAATGGAACAACAAATTTCATCGATGACCACTTTCAGTTTTATTAACTAATGTTTCTTCCTCAACACCTCTTAGCGTGATGTTCTCACATTCGCTAAATCAAGGTAAAGTACTATGCAATGAGAAGCCGGGTCACATTGCGCCAATCTCCTTTGAAGATTGACGCAGCCGACCTTCAATCTGCGGTCTGGTAGCACTTCTCTCAGTACCCTCGAAAATTATGGAGTTCCTGAAATGCGATGACGTGCGCGACCACATACTTTCAATATACTTCTTTTCAACCCAACAGCTCGGTTCCAGAAAAGGTCACTCTTGTACAGGAGTATTTCAATGTACTAACTGCCTTAGAGATATTTGTACATTGATGTTTAAATTAGTTATTTCACAGGGAGGTACTGAGATTAGTTCTGAATCATTTACTGTTTTTTTCGTTAGTTAATGAGGGACAAAAGTGTTCATTAAATGGTTCCGTAGCAAGTTTAGGATCTTCGTATACTTAATGTCTTTAATAAATGTGTTTCCTTTCGATTTAGAACGTTTAAGTTCATTATGAGAGAGTATGGTGAGTGCAGAGGAATTATTGTTAAGTTCGGCAGCACTTTTTTCCCAACAGATGACCGTCCACTGGTGTTGGTTTTTATATTAAGGCTACATATGACAATGTTATGATCACTACCTAGAAACTTTTTTTCCAATATACACAGTATTGGGGCTGAGGCCACTGGTAAAGATCAAGTCCAAGATATTTTAATTTCCGGTAGGGCTACTGACATACTGAGTTCACTGTCCTAGTTCTAGACATTCAATAAATGATTCATAACTTTTCGGAACCTTCACTGGAAACCAAGAAATTTCAGGCATGTTTGAAGTCATTACAAATGAGCTTGCCTGTTAATGGAATGGATGATGCTAGTGTGAATACCTCTGAAAAAATTGCTATCTCACCTATTGATTCGTTAGGCTGATAGTAGACACTGCTGAACAGTAAGGTAATAGAATTCAACAACTTTAAAATAATCCATATCGAATCCCTCAGTTTGTTTAGTTCAGGCATGTCACATAATATTGAGTTTAAGCTAGAGTGAGTGTAAATAAGACATCCTACGACTCGTTCTTTCAATCTTTTACTTCTATATAGGAAATAGTTATCAAGGGATATACTTAGGTTGGAAATATTACTGCTAGTCCATGCTTCAGATATTATTATAAGTGATGGTTGATATATATATATATATATATATACATATATAGGTACAAACAGGGTTAAATCAGCCTCTTTATTGCAGACCGGCCTGGCATTGACAATACACATTAAACAAGTGGCCTACTAAGTTAAAGTGAGAGTATCTCAATTAAGGATGTCATGACCCTTGTGGGTTTGAAGTGAGGGATCGAATGCTCTTCAGTAGCTCGGTATTTCGATAGATAGAGTTAGTGGAAATGTATCGAATGAGCTAGTGAAGTTGCTAGGGGAGTTAACCCGAGAGGAAAGGGTGGGAGTACTTTCACATGGAAACTGTACGGGGGAAGCAAGTTTATGTTCCTCATGTGATTTGAAATGACTTGGACCAGATGGTTCAACAGGGGTTCCACTGTCAGACGTATTCCCAAAAAATGTGGCACAGGTTGACTGTGAGTTGTAATGTTATTTGCAAAATAGTCTTGATGGTTAAGCTCGTAGTCTCTGTCATAGCTACTTTTACCCTAGTGTAAGCCTGAACAGAGTTTGCTGCACGTAACTAGAAATAACTACGACTGTCATCATACATGGAAGCCGTTTGTATGTGGTGGTTTGGTACTGAATGGTGTGAGGAGTTTTCCTTCAGAGGGTAATCACAATTATGATCCGGGGGAATGTAGGTAGGGTGTGTGGTTAGGAACCTATACTCACCAAGTTTATTAATGGTTTTAGGCTTTAGGGAGTGAGTGGAGTGATCAGTACTGTAGTAGTTCTTGTTAATGTGTGTGTAAGAAGGTTTTTTACGCTGAAGCCTACTACCCGTTTTACAACTTAGAGATGTTAATCGCAAATTACATGATATCAACAGGTAGAACCTACTCACCGTTGTTGGGATACCCATAAAACAGTTGGTCTCAATATTACGTGTTTCCCTATTCGGTATCGTGAATTTTCTCTCTCCAAACTTTTTTGTCAGAGCAGAAGAGTTATGTTGCCTGTGAGAGATGAATTTAGGTTCATTCGAGTCATCTTGTAGAGTATCTTTAAGGGGACTACTTTCCAAGGGAATATGTTTAGTTGGGTATGTCGTCACACGGCTCTTATTTTCGTACTTTACTGAGCGAACACTCGGGATCAGGTATGTCGTTATGCTTTTTGGTGATTATCCAAAGGTTTCTGATCTGCAGTCTTATCTACATCTACAGAGTGACCTCCCCTATTATAGAATGATATCATGCCTATTTTTCATGTGCTTTATATTATTCACTGTGTTGCCAGTTGTCTTTAGCTGGCTATTTACTGTAATACTATAATACGATTCTATCTTTTTCCGTCTTCTTACACGTCATTGACAGGCCAGAAGTGACTTTTATGGTCTTGTATGAAATTAACGAGCTAATATTTTTTCTGGAATCGATAAATTGCTTAGCATCGTTACAACAGCTAAATTTAAACAGGAAAGGGCAAGTCAATATATCCGACTTTTTTTCTAAGGTGAATGACTTGGCAGTTGACATTCAGCATACCATATGTTCTAAGGCAAATATCAATCAACTTATTTCTGTGTGTGCGATCAGGGAGATTGTATACAACTGCATTGTGGCAGACACCACTCTTTCCGTCACTTCTTCAGCCACAAACTGTAAGAACACACAGCTTTAGTGAGTTGTGCAAGATCTTTGCAAGTATTAATAACCCATATGAACGTGAGTGGTGCCGAATAGTTAAGTCCACCGGTAATTTCGTTTGGACAGCTTTGTAATTGACGGATATCAGTACTATATTGATCAGCATTTCCGTACGTGTGAGGTAAACTGTTAGACTCATTGGCCTTAGTAAAGCATGCTGTCTGATAGACCGTGTTGAATTTTCGATACACGTCGATATTGTGCCTTTGTGTCAATTAGTCATACCGTTGGCATAGTGAACGAATAGATAGAGTGTTACATGGAGAATCAGGTAGTGATAGTGATATTTATGGATAGGACGGATAGGATTCAGAAGACAAAGGTTTATCATTGTCAAGTACTTAGTCATCAGTCATAAGGGTTACAGACTTTGACCTTTTAGTTGACTTGAAAGTTGACAAAATTTCTCCTATACTGGAGTTACTTGCCATAATTTGAGGCTCTTTGAAAGTAAAATATAATATCTGAGTATATAGTTATTATTACATATTAACCGGGTTAATATTACGATCAGAGACTATGAGTATATAACTTCAGATATCAGGTGTTCAGTTACAACGTAAGAGAGTATTGATCAGTGGAATATTTTTATTTTAAATAACATAATCCAAAGATAAAGACGCGTCAATGTCAATAGCTGGGGCCCTATATTAGATATGTAGGAAACGAAGTCTGCAATATGTATGTAATGACTGGTAAGTGTCCGTAAAATTATTTTCCTGGGGTAAAATGTGACCGATATACGAGATAGGACGATAATCTAAGCATAATGCAGCCTACAAAAGGACAAGACGAAAATTTTCTAAACCACGTGAAAAATGTTACCACTTTCAAATTTCAACATTGAACGCGGAAAAAACCCAACAATAGAGAAGGCGGGTAGAATTAATTCAATTAATTCCATAGGTTGGATGGCGTGGCTCAACCTTGCGGGCGTGGTCACTCTTGTGTAACTTTTTTATTCAAATTAAATACATTGTTGTATCCTCAGCTTAAATGTGTTCTCCATCATATGTTGATGATTGTTACGATACAAACCAGTATAAACGATGATGTGACTTCCACGTAAGATCTTTTAGATTAAGTGGTCATATTATGACAAATCTACAATTTTAGTGCTAGTTCTATTATTAGATACACACTGATAACGAGGTAAACCATATTTGATACACCTTGTAGTTATTGAGAAATGTACTGTCTTAAGACCACTTCGGCATTTCAAACATGATAAATTTAGTGGGACGGATGATCCTAGAATTATAAAAGCCTCATCAGATGTAATTGCTGAACATTTAGCGGTACTGTTCGATATATACCTGAGTCAGTCCAGATTGCCCAGAGACTGGAAAGACGCGATTAGTTCGGTTTATAAGGGTGGGAGTAGAGATTTAGTAAGTAACTATCGACCTGCTAGCCCAACTAGTGCATTTGTAGGACTAATAGAAAAAATTATTCGGAGATCTTTTATACACTATGTGGAGGGGCATAATCTTGTATCCAGGGAACACCATGGCTTTCGGAAAAAGTTATCATTTCAACTAATCTCATTGCAAGAGAAGATTGGGATACAGCAAAAGGTCGAAATATTTCTGTAGACGTGGTTTTCATAAATCTAAATAAAGCCTTTGATGGGGTCACCCATTCAAGTCTTAAGTTAAAACTGGAAAGTTTTGCAATCCATTATACAGTGATAGACTGGATAAGTGAATTTCTCCATGACAGGAGACAAACGGTAAGAATAAATGGAGCTCTCTCACCGTGGGGTTCAAGGCAGAATCCTTGATCCACTTCTCTTTTTACTTTATGCAAATGAACTGTCAACTATGATTAAATCATCCGTCCTACACTTCGCCAATGATATAAACATTTGGAGACCCGTAAACAGTATGTCAGATAGAATGTTATTACAGGGTGATCTCAACTTATTAGTAGCATGGATAGACGGGTGGTCACTCGGAATGAATTCGAGCAAGTGTGGTGATGCAATTAA